CACATACTCAGGGGATGGCTAACGTCTGATGGCCATGCTATAAACCAAAATGCCAGAAAATTCCCCTCTGAAATATATTTTTACTGGCTCTTTGGTTAGTAACTTGATACAATAAATACCTGAAAGAGGATGGAATGAAGACTGTTTGGCATCTGTTTTATATCAAATATTTAACATTTCTTACCTCTTTAAGGTAATTTTTGGCATTAGCCTATATCTGATAATTGTGACTTATTTTCCTGCAATTTATGGCACTTTACTTCAGGCTTGTTAATAAATTTAAAGGATTTTTATTTTTCAAGTCAAGTAGGTGGGAGGGAAGGAGTAAAAATTAATCCAGTCTGACAATGTGGAACACACACCTGAAAATTTTGACTTTTTATTTGTGAAGGTTAACCGATCATGGAAATATGTGTGGTATTAAAATAGTTCATTGATATGATACTATGTAGGATTTTAAAAATTAGTTGAAAACTATTACAATGATTAATAATTTATTATGAATGTTAAGTAATATAGATAATAAAGAAATGTAGCTGACTTTAGGGGTGGCACAAACGGTGAAGCGCTCGACTATTAGCCAAAAGGTTGCCAGCGGTGCCTCCGAAGACAGGCCTGGCGATCTGCTTCAAAAGGTCACAGCCTTGAAAACCCTATGGAGCAGTCCTACTTTGCACACATGGGGTCATCATGAATAGCAATGTACTCCGTGGCAATTAACAACAAGATCTATCCTGCCTATACCTCTCCTCCGTTTAGCCCACCAGAATATTATGGTGCTCCAAACTTGGTATAGTACCACTCAGATTTACTGATACTTTTAAATTTAATAACTATGAAGAGAGTGCCATGTCCATCCCATAGAAATTGTCGATGATGAATAATAGTATTTTTAGTTTGTCTCTTGATTCTAAATCACATTATGTAGCCACTTTAGCTTGGAGAAAAGTTTATATCCAATGTAATCAATAAAAGAAAATAAGCACCTACTTAATAATGTTTAAATAATGTTTTCCCTGTGTTGTGAAGCAAAGAAAGATATCTATAAAATGACTCATTCGCGAATTTGAAGTATTTAGTTTGGTGGACTGCAGGGATGACAAATACCTGGTACAGGCACTGCCATGATTCCCACCCCCAGCCATAGCAGATCCCACTGACCTGCCCTGGTATTCTTTCTATCTGAGAGACTCCATGCAGTCTCAGAGTCATGCAACAACCTCAGGCTCCTCAATACAGCATTTGAGGCAGCCATGAACAATTTGACATTCCTTTGGAAAGACTGTTAATAAACAAACTTGAGCATTGCCATTGAGGAATTATATGGCCTCTGGTGAGTCACCTAATGTCTTCATGTCTCATTTTCTTTCTGAAAATATAACAATCTGATGCTACAGATTTCTTTTTATGTCAGTAGAATACAGAATTACTATTTTTTAAAAATGGTAGAAGTAGTTTTAGATAAAGAATAGACACTATTAGTAGCTAAGCCAGTTTACTCTTCAGTCTAAAGAAAACAATTTTTCTATTGTGATTCTTTTACGGAAAAGTATTAACAATTAGGAACTGTCCCATTTTTAATACACTATTTTTAAAAAAAATATATTTGTGAAGGAATCTTCTTTATTAAGTTAAAGTATATAATTATTTTTGAAGTTTAACTTAAATTTATCTTCTTTTAAAATGTACGAATATATTTAGAGATTAAGATTAGTCTTCATGTAAATTTAATTGTATCATTTCAGCAAAACTTAACACCACTATTTAAAATAAAGCCCTCCCTCCAACTTTTAATTTGTTATTTTTTGAAATGTTATCATTGCAAAAAAAGCTCAGGATGATCCCAACACTTTAAAGTGAATGAGACCCTAAACCAGATAATTCCAGATCATCACAAAACTTGCTTTTATATATAGAATTTATTACCATATCCTCTGTATTCATTATTTCTATATAATAATACATGTTTTGCTTTCCTACTTCTAACTTTACTTTTGGATTGCATGTAACTTTTAAAAAGTGTTTCCTATTTTCTGCAAAGAATAGCATTCCATATTAATTTCCCACTATTTTTTTAAGTTTTATTGTGATTTAGGTGAAAATTTACAGCGCAAATTATTTTCTCTTTAAAAAATTTATACACACGTTGTTTTGTGACATTGTTTGCAATCCCTGCACTGTGTCAGCAATCTCCCCCTTTCTCTTTCCCCCTCAGGCTCCCGTGACCATTCATCCAGTGTTCCTCTCCCTTTCTGCCTTCTTGTCTTTGCTTTTGGCAGGTGTTGCCCATTTGCTCTTGTGTACTTGATTCAACTAAGAAGCACATTCCTCACGTGTGTTATTGTTTTGTTTTATACTCCTGTCTAATCTTTGGCTGAAAGGTAGACTTCAGGACTGGATTCAGTTTTGAGTTAGCAGGGTGTCCAGGGGCCATAGTCTCTGGGGTTCCTCCAGTATCCGTCAGATCAGTAAGTCTGATCTTTTTTTTTTTTTTTTGTGAATTTGAATTTTGTTCTACACTTTTCTTCCTCTCTGTCTAGGATCCTCTATTGTGATCCCTGCCAGAGAGGTTGGTGTTGGTAGCCAGGCACCATCTAGTTCTTCTGGGCTCAGGCTAGTGGAGGCTGTGGTTCATGTGGCCCATTAGTCCTTTGGACTAATATTTTCCTTGTGTCTTTGGTTTTCGTCATTCACCTTTGCCCCAGATGATATGGGACTAATAGATGTATCTTAGACAGCCGCTGGAAAACTTTTAAGACCCTAGATGCTACTCACCAAAGCAGGATGTAGAACATTTTCTTTCAACTATGAACTATGTTATGCCAATTGACCTAGATGTCCCCCAAGACCATGGTCCCCAGCCCTCAGCCCCAGTAACTCAGTCCTTAAAGGTGTTTGGATGTGTTTAAGAAGCTTCTATGACTTTGCCTTGGTTAAGGTGCGCTCACTTTTGCTATACTACATGTTGTCTTCCCCTTCACCAATGTTAGCACTTGTCTACTATCTAGTTAGTGATTTCCTCTCTCCCCCGACCCCTCTCCTCACTTGCAACCATCAAAGATTGTTTCTTTCTGTACGTAAACCTTTTTTTGGGGTTTTTTATAATAGTAGTCTCATACAATATTTGTCCTTTTGTGATTGACTTATTTTACTCAGCATAATACCTTCCAGATTCACGCATGTTGTTAAATGTTTAGTGGATTCATCATTGTTCTTTATTACTGCATAGTATTCCATTGTGTGTATGTACCATAGCTTGTTTATCCATTCATCTGTTGATGGGCACTTAGGTTGTTTCCATCTTTCTGCTATTGTGAATAATGCTGCAAAACATGGGTGTGCATATGTCTATTCATGTGACGATGGCTCTTATTTCTCTAGAATATATTCCTCATAGTGACATTGCTGGATTGTACGGTACTTCTATTTCTAGCTTTTTAAGGAGTTGTCATATTGTTTTCCATACTGTTTGTACCATATTATATTCCCACCAGCAGTGCTTAAGAGTTCCAGTCTCCCTAAAACCTCTCCAACATTTGTTTATTTGTTTTTTTTTTTTTTTTGGTTCGTGCCGGTAATGTCGGGGTGAGTTGTTATCTCATTGTAGTTTTGATTTGCATTCCCACTATTTTTATTGAAAGAATGTTCTTTCATTTTTTTCACCAGTATATGAATTAGATATTTCTTTGTTCAGGAAGACACTTATTATTTGTTTATAAGCATCTTAATAGTGCTCTGTGTAATATTTTGTATATATGTAATATCTATGCATATATACACAATACGTATATATTTATCTATCTATCTATCTATATATACATATATATATAAAACAGTTGCCATGGAGTCGATTGTGACTCATTGTGATCCCATGTGTTTCAGAGTAGAACTGTGCTCCATAAAGGTTTGCAATGGGTAATTTTTTGAAAGAAGTTCACCAGGACTTTCTTCCAAGGCACCTGTGGGAAGACTTGAACCTTCAACATTTTGTTTAGCAGTTGAGCACATTAACCATTTGTACCAGCCAGGGACTCCAATATTATATATGGTGTTGTTGTTAGATGTCTTTGAGTTGATTCTGACTCATAGTAACCCTATAGGACAGGGTAGAATTGTCCCATAGGGTTTCCTAGGCTGTAATCTGTATAGGAACAGGCCTATTTTCCCGAGGAGCCCCCGGTGGGTTTGACCCACCAACCTTTCAGTTAGCAGCTGAGTACTTAACCATTGCACTATCAGGGTATAAGTAGCTAAAAAATTTATTTTGGTTGAGTCAATTAGGAATCCTTTAGCTCACAGAGTCTAAATAAATATATCAATTACTTAATGAAACAAGATTATTCTGCATATTAAATTTAAGATTTTTATATATTTAGAGATTCCTTAAGAATACAGGTAGGGTTCATGGTAAATAGAAACATGAAGTTGCTTTATTTAAAAATTCTTGAATGGCTTCAGCAGGATTATATTCATTTCCAAGACTAATTGGTATGTGAATTGGCTCACAAAAGCAATTTTCACTGAATATTACAGTCTAAGGAGGCAAATTACATTCTAGTGACAGAATATGTTTAAAAAAAAAAAAAAGGCCTTGGCATACTTATATGGCAACTTGCAGAATATGGAACAGCAACCTTTCTCTAATTCCTAATCTCTACCTATGTATTTTCTGCATATTAGCACTATCTCATCAAATTATACCTAAAAGTTGAAGAAAAAATATAGTGATGATACAGTCTTATGTATTTACACTAAACTTTAAAGCCATCAGCTCACAGAAACTGAACTGTAAATCTGATAAAACATAATTGAAGTGAGAATACAAGAAGTAGCAGAAAACCAACTAATTATGCCTGTATCTTCACTTTAGTCATCTCTTGAATATCTGCATCAATGGAAGGGAGTGGCTAATAGAGAACCACAGATAATCTATTGAGTGGGACTCAGTCCATGGTCTTGTCCTTAGTAGCTGAAATTTCTAACTGCCCAGTGTAATTTACTGTAAATATGTTATAAAGATGCCCATCACCAGAAGAGAGGCCACAGACACATAATTTTGTTTCTGGAAGCAATTCTTTTTTTTTTTTTTTATTTCTTAGATGTATGAATTGACTTTATTAACATTGGCTTTTTTTTTATTGAACTTTATATGAAGGTTTACATAACAAACTAGCTTATCATTAAACACTTAGTACATATATTGTTTTACGGCATTGGTTTTAACAACCCCACGACATGTCAGTACTCTCCCTTCTGCGCCCTTGGGTTCCCTATTCCCTCCTGCCTTCTAGTCCTTGCCTCTGGGTTGGTGTGCCCCTTTAGTCTCGATCTGTCCTATGGGTCTGTCTAATCTTTGGCTAAAAGGTGAACCTCCAGAATGACTTCATTACTGGGCTAAAAGGGTGTCTGGGGACCGTAATCTCAGGATTTCTCCAGTCTCTGTCAGGCCAGTAAGTCTGTTTTTTTTTTTTTTTTTGTGAGTTAGAATTTTGTTCGACATTTTTCTCCTGCTCTGCCTGGGTCCCTCTATTGTGATCCCTGTCAGAGCAGTCAGTGGTGGTAACCAGGCACCACCTAGTTGTACTGGACTCAGTCTGGTGGAGGCCATAGTAGTTGTGGTCTATTAGTCCTCTGGACTAATCTTTCCCTCGTGTCTTTAGTTTTCTTCATTTTCCCTTGCTCCTGAAGGGGTGAGAACAGTGCAGTATCTTAGATGGCCGCTCACAGGCTTTTAAGACCCCAGACGCTACTCACCAAAGTAGAATGTAGAACATTTTCTGTATAAACTATGTTATGCCACGAAGTTTATTAAGAAAATGTTCTGCATCCTACTTTGGTGAGTGGCATCTGGTGTCTTAAAAGCTAGCAAGTGGCCATCTAAGATGCATCAATTGGTCACAACCACCTAGAGTAAAGGAGAATGAAAAACACTAAAGACACAAGGCAAGTATTAGCCCAAGAGACAGAAAGGGTCACATAGACCAGAGACTTCATCAGCCTGAGACCAGAATAACTGGATGGTGTCCAGCTACCACCAATGACCACCTTGACAGGGAACACAACAGAGAGTCCCCGATGGAGTAGGGAAAGGGTTGGAAGCAGAACTCAAATTCTAGTAAAAAGACTAGACTTAATGGTCTGGCTGAGACTGGAGGAACCCCAGAAAGCATAGCCCCTGGACTCTCTGTCCACCCAGAACTAAAACAATTCCCGAGGCCCACTCTTCAGACAAAGATTGGACTGGACTGTGGGACATAAAATGATACTTGTGAAGAATGTGTTTCTTAGCTCAAGTAGATGCATAAGACTAAATGGGCAGCTTCTGTCCAGAGGTGAGATGAGAAGGCAGAGGGTTAGCAGCTGGTTGAATGGACATGGCAAACCAGGGGTGGAAAGGAGGAGTGTGCTGTCATAGTATAGGGAGAGCAATTAGAATCACATGACAATGTACGTATAAATTTTTGTATGACAGACTAACTTTAATTGTAAACTTTCACTTAAACTACAACAATTTAAAAAAAAAAAGGTTTTTACTAAGAAAAAAATCTATGTTATGAGAATTGAGCTAGATGTTCCCTGAGACCATGGTCCCCACAGCCCTCAGCCCAGGAATTCAGCCCCTAAGAGAGTTTGGATTTGTCCATGGAGCTTCCATGACCTTACCCTGAACAAGCTGTGCTGGCTTCCCCAGTATTGTGTACTGTCTTACCCTTCAACAAAGTTACCACTTATCTATTGCCTATTTAGTATTTTTCCACCCCCACCTCTCCCCTCCCCCGCCTTGTAACCATCAAAGATTCTTTCTTTTTGTGTGTAAATCTTTTCATGAGTTTTTACAGTAGTGGTCTCATACAATGTTTGTCCTTTTGTGATTGACTTATTTCACTCAGCATAATGCCCTCCAGATTCATCCATGTTGTGATGCTCCGCAGATTCATCATTGTTTTTGTTGTGTAGTATTCCATTGTGTGTATGTACCATAGTTTGTTTATCCATTCATCTGTTGATGGGCATCTAGGTTGTTTCTATCTTTTTGCTATTGTGAACAATGCTGCAATGAACGCGGGTGTGCATATGTCTATTGGTGCGACTGCTCTTATTTCTCTAGGATATATTCCTAGGAGTGGGATTGCTGGATCAAATGGTATCTCTTTTTCTAGCTTTCTAGGGAAGCGCCATATTGTTTTCCAAAATGGTTGTACCATTTTGCATTCCCACCAGCAGTGCATAAGAGTTCCAATCTCCTGGTGGCCTCTCCAACATTTGTTATTTTCTGTTTTTTTGATTCGTGCCAGTAATGCCAGGGTGAGATGGTATCTCATTGTGGTTTTGATTTGCATTTCCCTAATGGCTAGTGATCATGAGTATTTCCTCATGTGTCTGTTAGCCACTTGAATGTCTTCTTTGGTGACGTGTATGTTCATTTCCTTTGCCCATTTTTTAATTGGATTATTTGTCTTTTTTGGTAGAGGTGTTGGATTTTCCTGTAGATTTTAGAGATTAGAACTTTGTCACATTTGTAATAGCCAAAAATATTTTCCCAGTCTGTAGGTTCTCTTTTTACTCCTTTGGTGAAGTCTTTTGATGAGCATAAGTGTTTAATTTTTAGAAAGATCCCAGTTATCTAGCTTATCGTCTGGAGTTTGTATGTTGTTAGTTATGGTTTGTATCCTGTTAGTGCCGTGTATTAGGGTCTCTAGCGATGATCCTATTTTTTCTCCTATGATACTGGAAGCAATTCTTAGAGTTAGAAGTTGGCATTTTTTCCCGCACTCTTAAGGCTTAGGCTAATGATGTATATTATTATTTAAAAAAATGTTTTTTAGATTATCTTGGTATGTCAACATAGACAAGACTATTCCATCTTTGTCTTACTTCCAGTACTAGTATAGATTTTAAAATAGATTTAAAGAAATAGAAGTAATTTGCCAATTGTGAAGTGGAATATTTGAATCATAATGAATTCACCAATAACCCAAAATTCATTATCTATCATGATCTTGCCTTAGGAGCTTCACTTCCCATTTCTAGAGCTAAAATTATGGCCAATGTTTATGAATACTCCTATAGATTTAAATATCACTGGGATTTTAAAGTATGGAATAGTATTTGTCCTTAAAACTTTGATTATCTCTATTTAATTAAAAAAAAAACAAACAAACTCCTAGTTGATTATAACCAGCACAATTGACCATAATCCTACCTCATCATGAAATGTGAGAACGATCATAAGAATTTCTTTAAATAAACGACCTTTGTCATGTATCACTATAACACAACTATTGTCATTAAAATATATTTAAGACTATGGAGTCAAGATCCATAATCTCTGTTTAAACCTGTTGAATTGTGCCATTTGCATTGAACACTACTCTGTACACTCAAATGTATAGTTCCCATTTTCATCTGTAAAAGCGAAGTGATTATTTATTGATAAATGACATGGAATGTCATTTTTTACCTAAGTAGCATTAGACATTTCAAAGATTTTGACTGAAGGGCAAAAGGATTACACTGCATTTGAATAGACCATGTGACAACACATTCTTAGATTTCATGTATGATATGAAAGGATGATCCCCATTCCTAAGATACACAAGGGAAATTATAACTATACCAGCAAAGAAGAAAAGCAAGGAGGGACGTGGTGAGGGTGTCAGGGAGTATTTGTAGTGGTTTGATGCATGTAAATATTACATCTTATAAATAATTCTTTTCAAATACATCTCTGAAGTTCAGGGGCTCTGTTTAAGAAACGAATTGTATATACTTTACATGACGATACGCCATTTTCTTCAAGATAAGAGCAACACTAATTCAAATAGGAAAAATGCCTTCCAAAATAACTCTTTCCTTCTGTTCCCTGTGAAGAAGTGTGTCACCTGATGCTGGCAGATGACTGGAGGAGAATCGTTCAAGTTGTATTTTACTGTCAGAATCCAACAAACACGTTTTCATCTAAATTATTTTGTCAACAGCCTAGTAGTACCCTTGCTAACCTTATTTGGCACCAGTGCATAATTAGATACACAGGGGTGTGACTCCAATTGAAGGTGTTGGCATTGTAGCACTCTGTGAAAATATTAACTATGAGGTTAACTCCAATTTTCTCTTCTTTAATTAAATGCACATGGTACTAATGAGGTAGCCTACTGTTCCTTGATAGCACTAATTAGCTAAGAGGAGAGTACACTCTCACACTGCAATTTAAACCTAAAAATAAGGTTGAAATATGCTAATTGCAGGCAATTTAAAACAGTACAACTTGAAGAACTAGTCATAATACGAGAAACTGACTGCTTTACAGCTAGGCAGCTGTAACTTTGGTTAAAATCGAAACAAGCCACACAGGTTCTGGACTGTTATTTAACAAGGTCATAAGCATCCAAAAAAAATGAAATGCTACTCCATCCCATAACAATGAAGCAGACTAACAAAAAACCTCAGACAGACACTCATCTATGTAAAACCCAAAATAAGTGAGGATGACAAGGATTCCAAACCTGCCACCAGACTATTTATATTTAATACTGAAAATTAAACTCTTTAAATAAGCAACATCATCTCAAACTCATTCAAGCCTACCCTAATTAAAGAAAATATTGTAATTTGTGTCTCCAAAAGATGCTGAGAAGCTGAAGATCTGCCATCCCAGTTACGAGGTCAGAAGGTAGAACACAGAGAGAAGTAGGTCTCAGCTCTAGCAATTTTCTTTTCATACGGGTGAGGGACACCTGAACAGAAAATTTCAAGACAATGTACAAACACAGTGATAAACATACACAAAAGATGCTATGGAATAAAAGGGTATAATTACCATCTAAGGGACACCAAGAACCAGTTGCCTTTGAATCCATTCCAACTCATGAGAGACAGGTGCCAAAATATCAGAAGGAACTCATTATAAGATTTTTCACTAGATTTCTTCAAGAGTTTGGAGCTTTGGGATGGAATTAGCCTGAGGTTCACTGTGACAGAAAATGTCAGTCACAATTCCCTATTCTAAACTCAAACAACTCAGAAAGGTAATTCAGTGAATCTCAGTATAATCCAAACATGTCTTCTCTAACTGTT